GCAATGTGTGCTGGCAGCCCAGAAACCAAACATCTCCTGGGCTGCATCACAAGAAGTGTGATCAACACATCGAGGGAGGGCATTCTCCATCTCCACTTCGCTCTGGTGAGACCCCCCCCGCAGTGCTGCACCCAGCTCTGGGTCCTCAGCACAGGACAGCCACGGAGCTGCTGGAGCGGGGCCAGAGGAGCCACGGAGATGGGCAGAGGCTGGAGCGAGGACAGGCTGAGAGAGTTGGGGGTGTGCAGCCTGGAGAAGAGAAGGCTCCGGGGAGACCTTCCAGCACCTTCCAGTGCTGAAAGGGGGCTACAGGAGAGATGGGGGGGCTCTGGATCAGGGGATGAAGGGATAGGGCGAAGGGTAACAGCTTTAAGCTGAAAGAGGGGAGACTGAGATGAGATGTGAGGAAGAAATGTTTTCCTGTGTGGGCGGTGAGGCAGTGGCCCAGGGTGCCCAGAGAAGCTGTGGATGCCCCATCCCTGGAGGGGTTCAAGGCCAGGCTGGATGAGGCTTTGGGCAACCTGGGCTAGTGGAAGGTGTCCCTGCCCATGGCAGGGGGGCTCAAGCTAGATGATCTTTAAGGTCCCTTCCAACCCAAACCATTCAATGATTCTGGGATTCTTGGCTTGGAAGGTTCTAGGTACTGCCCTACATGCTTGCCCTATTCATATTCATTCCCTGGCAAAGGCAGGATCTGGGAGAAGGTTTGTTTTCAGGTTTGTTTCCTTAAAAATTTGTCACTACTGTTAAGATCAGGGCCACTACCCAGTGCTTGCTTATATACAGAGACACCACCAGATTTTTGAAGCAAACAATTACTTTCAACTAAATCCAACTCTTCAAATTATTATCACACCTAAGAAGTCTTTAAGAAGATGGCTCACCTCATTTCCCTCAGCCTCCTAACATGTTGTATGCACTTCTGCACTGTATAATCTACTTCCTCCTCTGTAGTGAAACGACCAATGCCAAATCTAAACCAAAAGAAAACCATTAAGGATTAGAATAACATGCATACAGAGGGGTAGAACAAATCCACCACCTACTTTTAGCAGAAAATAAAAATATGTGGAAGTACTAGGGAATACCATTCCATGCACCTTATAGATGAGTGAGCCAAGTCTTCATCTGTTCCAATTGCCCGCAAAACATAGGAAGGCTCCAGAGAAGCTGATGTGCAAGCACTGCGGAAAGGGAAGGCAGGCAAATTTCAAACTTTCATTCATGTGCAGATGCTACACTGCAGTAATCACTAATCTCCTCCAACAAATAATAGGTCACTTACAGACTTTTAATATTACTATGACTGTTTACAACAACCTGTATCAGCTTCCCCAACCTCTTAGAAACCACCACAGAATACAAGTGGAGAAGACTGGTATTTCTACAGCTGAAGAAAAAGAATGGAAGGAGCAGGCATTACAGAGGAATGAGGGTAATAAACTGGGAGCATGAGGTAAGAAGGGAGAGCACAGCTAGCACAGTAAGAATAAACACAATGCCAAACAGAAGCAGAGGGAAAGCAGACTAAGAAGTAGCTGAAGTGAAGTCCCTGAAAAAAGCACAAAGGAGCCAAAAGAGAACTAGCCAGAGAAGGTACCATAATAACAGGAACATTAAAAAAGAAAAAAGACTTCACAAGCTGCTGTTTGGCAGCAGAACAAATCAATGAAAAACAGCACGCAGAGGAATCCAGAGCAAGATGATCTAGTTATAGTCATCAGCAGAGAGAACTTCCAACTCGAAGCAGTAGGCAAAACTGGTTACACGCTGTTACTCAATTTCTACAGGTAACAACATGCAGCACAAACTGCAGAGCTGTTTACAGCTCTCTGGTACACAAAGCAGAGCCTCAGAACAGATTTTCAAATTACAGAAGTGTTCGGCTTCAGAGACAGTCACATGGAGACTTGTTCTTCCTGTTCATAGTGGCAACATATTTCCAATTAGTAAGATATGCTCACTGCTTTGTTCTCAAAGGTGAGGAAAGGAGGGCATCTTTACACTCCATTAACTTCATCATGAGCATCAAGTTTGTCTTAGTAACAGAAATGTTACTGGTCACTCCTGCAGAGTCAATAGAGCTCCATAAAATTGCATTCAATTTTCTTTCTGCTTCTGCATTAAACACAGGCACTATGAGGTAATTTAATTCAGATATTTGTCCAGCCTAGCTAGACTCTAGTTACGAACCGCCACTTGTGTGAAATCCTGTAGGACGGAAGCTGCCCAAATGCTGGTAGCCTTTAGAATTAAAGTGTCACCAGCAGTTACAAATCAAGGCTACTCAGATCACAGGTAATGAGACTGCAAGGCTGGCAGGCAGCAATTTCTAGGTTGGTTTTTCTCATTTTGTTTGGTTTTGGTGTTTTTCGTTTGTTTGCTTGCTTTTGGTTTTTGTTGGGGGGGTGGTGGAGTAGGTGTTGGAGGTTTTTTTTGCTTTCAGGATGAGTAAAATTGACCTTCATTTGAAATGTGCCACTTCAGAGAAACATCATCTTAGAATGCCATCAGTACCAGGGTCACTCATTAACCTAATACACAAGTATGAGGCACAGAGGAGACCAATCCTTAGTTTGTACCTCCATTAGAAGATATTTTTTTCTCTCCAAAATATGCTGTTATCCTTCCCACACATTCCTCCTACCTTCCTGAAGACAGAGCCACATCTTTCAGAGCCATCAGAAGACTCTCGCCTTCCACATATGCAAAAGATAAATTGATGCATCCTACATACAAATAAATTAAATAGAAAAAAAGAAGTCCATCAACTGAAGTCTAGGGAAAATCCAACACCATACATCAGTACCTGTACAATGTTTAGCTAAGGTGCGTTATTCTGCCATGACCATTAACACTGAGGAGCTGGACAGTTCTAATGGGCCCAGCATTTTGCTAACGTTACCTGGATAGCGATGTTCTCTATCTCCGTTCATAACCACATCAGGAACTTCACTCATTATTTTTGTAACCAGTCGTTCTGCCAGTTGTGAGATTCGCTTGTGGTCATACTAGCAAAGAAACCAGAAAAGAGACCAAAATAATAAACTGTGTACAGTTTGACCTCACTCAAACTGCTTTGTGTCACCAGCCACGAGCAGACTGAAGTAGCTGGGCTTGGTT